GAATTCAATTCCTGGGAATGTGGAATTTAACTTCTTGTGGATGAGGTCTAAATCATTTTTCTTGATGATGACAAATGTGTCATTTACATAGCACATAGCACCTACAAGCACAGATCAAAAATCCTACCAATCAATGCACACGTCGGAGGAATATTGATTTTCCGAACGTTTAAACACGTTAGTTGTTTTTTGCACAATTTTTCCACGTCTGACGACGACCGGTTGGTCCGTGTCGAAAATTCACGAATAAAATTGGACATTTCCCAAAGAAAGTCTTATTCTCATAATAAGAGTAAATAATAATTCTACTTTAAATAGCTAGCAGTCTATTTATATCAGTTAAATGTTTGATTTCAGAGAAGCGATTAGCTTATTTAATATGCCGGTCGCAAGCAAGACACCAGTTTGGATTGAGGTGGAGGGAGGGTTAAGGTTGGTGATTGTGTGAAGGTTAAACTCAGAACATATGAATATACACCCTACCTTCTGGAGTTTCGATCAAGTCCACACGAATTATTTATGGGTTCCTATTCCCACATCCTAAGATTTCTTTGAAAGTGGTCATGAATAAAAGGAGATTCAGGCAGACAGGAAGCATTTTCGCAGAATGTGCATTTGCACAAGAATGATGCGTCTATCGCAGGGACACGTCGGGAAGTCGGCATTATCGTATGGGCAGCAGGCCACATCATAAGTTGCGAGTTCAAATCACGTTGAGAAATCACCAATATCGCGGAGGGTTAAGTTAATTAAACCCTAGCAACTGCGATCTTCAGGCCCGGTTCACTAGGAGACGAGAAGTCATGGGAGGCCAGAGTGGTAGGAACAGTTTATTCTGTACAGAAGGAATTTAGAATAGCATAACGAAGTCCACTGTCGGACCACCCGTCCATCCGCTATGGTGGCTTGGCCCGAAGTGCCGACCTGACAACAATCACTGCGTTGAGGTCCTTGTGAGTTGGCCTTGATAGCCAATGACCAGACGGATTGAGGCCAACCTACCAATGCGGGCATCTCATTGCACGGATTGAGGTCAGCCTAGTAAATGCGGCTTTTCGTGGAGTCAACAGCCACCTAATAGGTAGTTCGAGGCTTGCCATAACTAGAAGTCATGTCTAGCGGAACGCGGCAGGAAACGGCTTTAGTGACTCCGTGATAACTCACCTAGTAAGAATTCCACGAGCGATATCTCCACTCCATCTCACTGAGTAATTTTCTGGCTCAATTAATTCATCATTTCTTGTTGTCTTTACTGGAAAACTGTTTAGAATATTTTTGGTAACCATTTACAGTGGCAATTAATTCCAATATTTAGCTTCCGTCATTAATGTTTGATGATTTTCTTGCTTTATGCAGGGGCTTTGAGATTAATTGTGAACAGCTGGTTTACCGATACCACAATCACACTCTCTGCAATACTTTCATTTATAGCTCAAACAGTATTCGACATTGCGAGTTCTTCCAGCGACCAGGAAGAGTTCCTACGGAATCTGCAAAAACAGCTCAGTGCATTCAACTTTCCCAAAAAGATAGCACTCAAGTTTTGGTGGGCCTACGAGACCTACGAAACTGCCGTAATGAACAAACGCAAACGGGAGTACTCCCCAAAATAACTATCGTTCCGGTGGTCTCTGAATGCTGAAGTGATCCGATGTCTGTCCTGTTATATGGCTCCCCCTTCACCCCACCAACCTTTCAATATTTGCTGCGGTCACACGAGACATCTCTGTAATATTTATTTGACCTATATTTTTTGTCAATTTTCTCTTCTCCCGATGAATAACTGCCGATGACGTGCCATGCAAAATATCTTTTTTTATTGGGCAAAACTGGCACTTAACTGTCTCGCAAAATCGAATCCAAGTTTAGTAGGCATATTAGTTCTAGGCAGCTGCTGCGATAAAGAAAAACACTGACTGAGTAATGTCCAGTTAAAGTGCGAAGCTCACATTCCCAGAAGCTGAGGAACCGAAGCCCCTAACGCGGCAACAAAAAATCAGAAAAGCGTCTATCTGGGCTTCCCGCTAGTGCCTGTGTTTGGAGTCCTCCAGCAGTCACTGCGCCCGCTCCTACATCTGGTAGCTTTGACCTTGTCTTCTCATCAAGGATCGGTATGGGAGGGAGAGAGGGGAGGATACAGCAGATATCGTCCATGTCTACCACACTACAAAGTAAACCACTCGCCAGTCACCTTTGGGTACGCTGCGGACACTGTGATTTACAATGTTTGAATTGCAGTGTTTAAAGTACGGTGAGACCATTTCCGTGACGACTAAATGTAGGCAGGGATCTCTAGAGGGGTTCTAAAAGGGTGAACATGTTTACTAACCGCATACTTACAAATTTTCAGTGGGTTGAATTTTCTATAATCTCCCAATGTTTGGTCCATTAGGGATTAGATGATGATATTGAAACGCTTAAGTCAGTTTATTAAGTAAAATGGCTTTTCAAATTAACCATGTGAATAACCGCTTACTTACAAATTTCAGGTAGGGTGAATATTCCACAATCTTCCAACTTTTCACTCGTTTGCCCTTATTCGAGTTGGAGTTAGTAATACTATTAAAAAATGTACCTTAGTGACCTCGCCCAAGGTCTGGGAATACCCACCCCTAACATACACGCGCTCGCCGTAGGTCTAGTCAAGGTTAGCGATGATATTAAAATGTGCCTCGGTGTCCTCGTCCGAGGTCAGCGCACATCCCCCAACTTACCCACGTAACTTTTTTAATTTATAAGTTACTGCGCACTGAAATTTTCCCCTATGCGCCACACCCAATCTACCCCTTAAACCCGGGTGCCCGCATTGGAGTGGAGCGCGCTTCGCGCACACTGTGGAGACCCCAGTATAGATCCTTTCCTAAACGTACTATGTATTGCCAGCTGGGTCTCACCTTAAGTAATCTGTCTTGAGGGCAAGGTGTAAAGGAAACGTTTGTTTTCCCTGATGACGGTTGTTCCAGTGCTCTTTTATACTTACCGGCAATTCTGATTGGCGTTGCATACCACTTTTTTGTGGATCTTGCCATTCAATGATTATTTTACGGAATTTGGGCGTATTTAATCCAAAACCTGAAACTCCTGTCTGTGCTCCTCATCGTGTTTTATCTCTGTCTATCCTCGTCTCTGGTGGTACTTACAGGATTTATCAGGTTTAAGGGTCAGAATGGCTATAGTAAACTGGTAATCTTGTTCTCACTAACGAAAATGTTTTCTAACACGCCCTGGCAGCAGATATAACGAGGACAGAAGAACGTGACAACCATTTGAATCAACAATCCATCCGTATCGTCTGTTATATGCAATGGTTCACTGTTTTCCAAGGGTCAAAACCGCGAATGTAAATCATAAATTAATACAAAGTTATTTCGTGGCTGGTAAAAACATCATCTACGAAAGCATCAAAACCTGCACATTTTAAAAGGACCTGTATATGC